AACATCAGGAATAACACCAGTGCCAAAAAACAAGTAAAATTGCAACTAAAAATGACTTCAGACCAGTGACCTTAACTTCCACGGTAATGAAATGTTTAGAACATATTGTTTTAAAATTGCTGCTAGATGAGGATAGTGTTTAAATTGATCCTATGCAATTTGCATATAGATCTGTAAGGTGGTCGAAGATGCTGTACTAATATAGTTAGATAAAATACTCAAACACATAGAAACACCTAAAACTTTTGTGCGGAAAACTTTCATAACATTTTTAGTTTTTTTTTTTTTTTTAACGTAATTCAGCCTCATCTACTTATAATGAAACTGCTAGATATGAACATAAATGCTAAACGTTCTTATGTTTTGTTTTTATATTGTTAGTTCTCACCTATAGGTGCGTTATGTTCTAGTCACCCGTCCTACTTAAATGCCCTGCTTACTAAGTATCCTCTCTGTTCCCAAATATTCTACCAAAACCTATGGTCAATGCTCATTCATTCTCCTTTGCTTCTACTTTTCTTTGGAACCAGCTTCCTATTAATATAACGACTTCTTCTAATTTCTGCAATTTAAATCGCGAATTAAGACTACTTTTGTTTTCCGAGGGTATCACACTTGTATAGTGCGCCTTTGATCTTTTTTGGAATTGGCGCCTTATAAATTCCAGATATTATTATTATGGATCTTTCCTCAGGGACAGACCACAGTTTGTTGAAGTTAAAATCAGATGTACGAACAATCAATACTGGAGCACAGCAAGGATGTCCTTTCACCTATATTATTTTCGTTATACACAAGTGATTGTAAAAGCAATAATCAAGGTTGTTCAATCATAAAATATGCAGATGATACTGTTATAACTGGCTATATGAAAAACGATCAGGCTTTTTTACTTGGATGAATTAACGAACTTTAAACTAAGGAAATGATAATAGACTGCCGTAAAGAACCCATTGTCCTAATGCCACTCACTATTCACGGCGAGCTTGTAGCAAGTGGATGAGTACATATACTTTAGGTACAATATAGACAACAAACTTAATTGGAATAAACAAACTAAAGTTACTCAATGTAAAGCAAACCAACGACTGTACTTTTTAAGGAAGGTTAAGCAATTCAAAGTAGACAGAACTATTCTTCATTTATTTTATCAATTAGTTATTAAAGTCTTTTTGTATTCAGCTTAGTATGTTTCTATGGGTATATGTCTAAATTAAATAGAAACAGATTAATAACAAAAATAATTAGAGTAGCTCTACGAGTTATAGGACGTGATATCGATCTGAAAACAATGGAAGAATTATATGAAAGCGTTTGTAGAGCTTAGACTAAGTGCAGAAATGAAAGATAATACGATTTTATTATAATAGATATGCAATACGTTAGTACTTACTCTTTTTTAATCAATTTTAATATCTTATCTCTTTTTTAACATTTAATTTTAAACAATTTTAAGAAGCAGCAAATTTATTTGACTCCTGCTCCGGGTTTTAATTTTGTCATTTTATTGTACTTTTAACTATTTGAGTTCTTTTTTTGTGGCAAACCGTGGAAGTAACGCCTGAGAATCATATGCTTTCACTCATGTATTTTAAAATTGTTTTATCTCATCTTGTACTTTCACGTGTTTTTAATCACTTTTATCTGTTCATTTGTCTTAAATTGGAAAAGAGGAAACGAATTTCCACTTTTTATAATGGACAATAAACTCATCTTATCTTGTTTTATCTTATCTTTAATATGGTCTTCTACATGATGAATAAATCCCCAATTCCAGCTGTTATCGAGGGAATTATCTTTGTATTATTATTATTATTATTATTATTATTATTATTATTATTATTATTAATGCAATAATAATGATAATAATAATAATAATAATAATAATAATAATGATGATGATAATAATAATAATAATAATAATAATAATAATAATAATAACAATAATAATAATAATAATAATAATAATAATAATAATAATAATAATAATAATAATAATAATAATAATAATAATAATAACAGTACATTATTAGTATTATTATTATTAAGTTAAAATTAACAAAGAATAACATGCTGGCCTAATATTACATAACGCATGTTAACTTCACATAATGTTAATATACTATATACTAACAGAAAATTAGGCTACTAATTTCTAAATAGCCACTGAGCGAAAAAAAAAAGTTTATAGAAGAGCAGATGTAGAAATAAAAATTTAAAAACAGCACTGAGTTCGTCTTTGCCGCTTATTAAAAGATTAAAATTACCGCTCCTTACCGGAGTATTAGTAGATGAAGGCAATAGAATCTAACCACTGGGGAAAGGTGTGATGTCCTTCAGAGGTGAAAAGAACAAGTAGACTGAAAGAGATTTCCTGTTTTCTTTCCTCTATCTTTTATGTGAACCAGGCTGCAAGTTTAGGCCCTACTATCTAAAATAAAATTAGTTTACAGCTGACCAGTATTGCGGATGCATTAAGAATCAATCAATCAATCAATCAATCAATCAATCAGTTGACCCTGGCTAACGCTTTTTTAATCTGCACATAGGTTACACCTTGATGGTGCAGCATACTAGCAAAGAAAGTAGAAGCAAAGGAGAATGAATGAGCATTGACCATAGGTTTTGGTACATTATTTGGGAACAGAGAGGATACTTAGTAAGCATGGCATTTAAGTAGGACGGGTGACTAGAACATAACGCACCTATAGGTGAGAACTAACAATATAAAAACGAGTTTAGCATTTACGTTCATATCTAGCAGTTTCATTATATGTAGATGAGGCTGAATTACGTTAAAAAAAAAAAAAAAACTAAAAATTTTATGAAAGTTGTCCGCACAAAAGTTTTAGGTGTTTCTAAGTGTTTGAGTATTTTATCTAACTATATTAGTACAGCATCTTCGACCCCCTTACAGATCTATATGCAAATTGCATAGGATCAATTATGCAATGCATTATTATTATTATTATTATTATTATTATTATTATTATTATTATTATTATTATTATTATTATTATTATTATT